CGGCTTGATTCGAACGTCTTCTGACAGAATTATCTCTTCCTTGAAGTACAATAATGTCTGTCTAAGTATATATATATATCTATTTTCTTCATATTTTTCTATATACTATGATCAAACATATCGTCTTGTTTGAGCAAGTTGTTTGCTCTGGTAGAGTCCATTGGTCTGTAGTCTAAAGCTTGTGATTTTGAACTTGGATGATCTAAAGGATGCGATTCACCAAATCCTCCTTCAGAGTGAGTGCAGGCCCTTCGCTTTGGGCAGCAGACCATGGGATTGGAGAACATCCCTGAAGCTAGAACCATTCAGAATGGTCCATTCTGTTGCTCTTTTTGGGTTGAATGCAAACGATTCAAACTTACCCCGTTCCTCCTAGAAGGTCAAGTTTGAAGGTTGAAGGTAGATTCCAAGGCCACAGGAATCAACGTCAATTCAATAGGACTTCAACAGGAGTCAAAAGGAAGCAGGTCAATTCAAACAGAAACAACATCAACTAACAGACTGCTTAACTCGATTCTTCATGACAATGCCTGTGATTAGTCGGGATGGGCAGTACAACAAGAGGTGGCAAGGGCTGAAGGGGTACCATTTGCGAGCTTTTCAACCAATTGATATTTGTTTTGTTGGCACATTTGGGTACACACATGCGTAGCAAGTTAAAACTATTTTGAGGTTAGCAATTGCTACAGTTTCAACAAGACAAGACTCTTCACAAGACACAAGACAACAAGACTCGCTACCAATCCCCTTCCGACTCCAGACGATCGTCCAAGGTTGCGCAGCAAAGCCCTTTGGTTTGACCGCATTTGCGTGAACCAGGTGGACCTAGCGCTGAAAGCCCAAACAATCCAAGGAATCCCTGCTTTTGTTTCGCAGGCAGCACGGATGGTATTGTTGTGTTTCCAAAATGTCGACTTGTGCAAATTGCAGCTTGGGGCATTGTGGGTACCGAGAACGATGCCCAGTTCAATGGTCGCGTTGAAGGGTGTGACCAAACCCCTGCCGCAGCAGAACGCGCTGCGCTTGCCCATGCTGTTCTTGCCGCCCACAGAGCCCAGGTTCCTGTAAGGTTACTGATTGATAACGACGCCATTGTCGAGAGGTCTTGTACTGGGTGCTTGGCATGGCGACGTGCCAGCATTTTGGTGGCATATTGCCAACCATGTTACTTTTGGGATTGATGCCATGTGGATCCCCTCCCATGATAAGAACCCACTTTGGGCACCTCAGGTGGATTGGGGTCTCTCAGTTTCGCACTGCCGTAGACTTAACGCAGCGGCTGATGCAGCTGCAAAGGAAATCACAGGCCAGTTATGGCTGACCTTTTCTAACAATTGCTTGGAAATTGTTGCTGCCCATGCGTGGGCTGGTCATGCATTTACTGCACTGAGAAAGTGTACATTTGCTTTCCACGAGCATTTTGACCTCATTAATGCAAGCATGGAGCAATCCTGTTGCGACCGAAAATCCTTGACACATGGGTTTCAGTTCTTGCCTTTGCCGTCCCTCGGTAGGGCACCTACTGAAAGTTTACTTGTCTGTTTGACGGCCCAGGAACCTAGTTCTGGGCCCAAAACTATTTTGCCTGCAGTCTCGCCACTGCCACCCTCGGCTGTTTAACCATAGTCTCGCCCGGCAGGTTACAGTCTACATCTACATCTACATGAGAGTTTTTTTTCAAAAATTGTGGTGCATTTATGAACTGGCTGTCAGAGCCAAAGCCCGGAGCTTTGCATCAATGGATTTCGCCCCCGTGTGGCTTCCAATCTTTTGCTTGTGTAACATTATCACGTATCTCCTTGGTGCCTTGATGAACCTTCCCTGGAAACTAGAGCCTGTGGAAGGGGACCAAAGCTCATGCTTCACACAGCTCTTTTGGTTGATCTATGGCTCTCCTTTATTGTACTTCTTTTCCGCAATTCCTATCACCTACTTTTGCTTCCTGAAGCTCGAATCCCACAAGACCATGCTGGATCAGATGGCCTCCTTCGACCTGAGAATGGCCAGATGCTCTTTGGAAACTGACCGAATCATGATCAGGCGACAAGTCTTGGGCTTTTTCGATGAGGCCTTGCGACCTCCTTTGTCGGTCTCTGTTGACGAGCTACTTTCTGCTCACGCCAAGCAAACCTTCAATCAAGAGCAAGAGCTTGAGCATTCCGAGCATGAGTATCCAACGGAGCCAAACCCTTCGGAGGAAGAGGATTGGTTGTTGGCGTGGGGGCACAGCGGCTTTCGCCATGTCACGAGCTACCCGTCGCAGGAGGAGATTATTGATGAGTTCAACGCCTATGTGCGAGGTCCATTGCGAGAGAATGTCGTGCGCTCTTTTGGCCGTGAAGATCACATCCCTTTCAAGGTGTGCTTAGTTTCATGCTTGCCATGCTTCGGCACGGGATTAGCTCTCATCTTAGGCTGTGATGGCCATCGTGATTGCCAACTTGCGGCACTAAGTCTGGGTTTCAACTCCGTGATCCGGTATCAGGTCACTAACGCGATGCTCGTTTTAACATGTTTTAGCATGCTTCTCAAACCCGCAGACTCGATCTTGCAGAGGGGGAGTAGAAGCGGGTGTAAGCATGTATCAATGTTATTTTGATTTTTTGGGGTATTTTCGCTTGTAAAAAGGCTCACTCTCCGAGGACCATGACTCTCGTGTTGTGGCCTGTGAGTAATCTCGTGGTTATGCCCTTGCTGCTGCGAAGCAACCAACTTGTCACCGAGCTGAATTGGGTGATCACGGGGCGCCAACAAGCAAATGTTCCATCAAGAGCACTCGTCCCGTGATAACCCGTTTGTTCAAAATGCACCTGAAACAGAGTTGTCCACGGGCCTTGCAGACTTGTTCTTTTTGAGAAACTTGGGTCCAGTTTGGGTCCAAGCGGAAAAGGCTAAGGAATCAGCGGCACGACTTAGACTCAGACTTAAGCCTGTAAAGTGATGTCCATCTATAGCTTCTGTTGTTTTCTCATTTTTTTCCTGAGTAATATGCTTTTGATCAGCCAACATCACAAAAATTGTTTGGAACTGGGACCCAGAACAAAGAGAGCGCTTGAAATTTGGCAGCCTTATCCTGGACACGTTGCTTTTCCATCAGGATTTATGAACGCTTTAGATTAGAACCATGGCTGTTGCAGGCTGCAAATCAGCGTCTGCATATTCCTTGCCAAACCGGATACCTCTAAACGTTGGTTCTCCCGTGATGTTTGAAAGTCAATCAACGTAGCACAGTACTGTAGCAGCTGAAAAACGTTCTGGTGAACACCTTTGGATTCATTCTTGTTCGAGAGCCTTGCAACTAACAGGCACTTCCAAAATCGTATGTAAGGCTTAGTTTGATCTCGCATGCAAAATAGAGAGCATATCTAGGCAGCGAGGGTAGACGCTCCCTTGTACTTGTTGAGATGTGTTTAAACATTTTTCAATCTGAGGTTGCAAGAGTGGTTAGCAGTCCGTCCTTGCGGTTCTTGACAGGGCTATTCTTCTCTTCAAGCGTTGTTAGCTTGAATGCTTGCATTGGCAGTGTACTGTCTGCCATGTTTCCCAGCTTTATTCATCAAATGCGACCAGTGGGAAATGGGTCTATTGAGGGGACGACCAGTGCACTCAATCCAGTGACTGGTTGAACCTTCTCATCTAGCTTGCTTTCATCATGTGCGTCACCTTGTTCCAGTGGAGAGTCAAGTAGTCTTGGGCTTAAAACATGGGATCAGAACATGGAACAAAACTAGACACAGGAAACACTGCTCCAAGTATATAGTTGTTTTTGTTCAACGACTGAATATTAGCCCAGCCCTGCCAAAGAAGCTGAACATCACCCTCACCACAAACTTCAAAGAAGGTGATCAAGAAAGCAAGCCTCAACCCTGGAGAGGTAGTGTGGTTTCTGTTTGATTTTATTGCCCTTGCAGGAGACTTTTTGCTGGGTTGAACCATGTATATAGTTCAACATGCTCTCAACGGGCGGACGACCCGGTCCCTACGTTGTTCAAAGCTCAAGAGGTTAAATTAACCTAAGCAGGAATGCAAGATGCGCAAACTTACGCCCAAGACTCACCGTATGCAACTGCTCATTAATCTGAAATGGATGTTTTACAGTTTACAGTAAGAATGATCAAGTGACTCAAGTTATCAGCAACTCCACGATATGAACGACAATGCAAAGCGAACTCCATGCGAATAACCCCAAAAGCTAAACACAACACCCCAATGATTCCATGGTTCATTGGTGGGCGGCCGGACGGTCGGTTTTGGACCAAAGACGTTGGGTGAACTTGCATGTCTCCAACTTGGCACTGAGGTTGCTGGTTGGTGCAAGCGACGCGACAGACACCTCACCACTGTGGTTGTTTGGAGCTTGTGTGGGTCTCGTTTTGCAGTTCCTGCTGGCGTTTAGCTTGTTTCTGGGAAGCCAATGAAGTCATTCAAACCAGCGAAGTCTTGCGAAAGCAGGGACTTGAATCGCGGCATGTCCAGCAAGAGCTTTACGGCAAAGAAATGGCGCGATATGCGTGTTCTTCAACACCTTGAAGATCCTTGAAGTAGTGAAATGAGCTGCGAAGATTTGCAGTGAAAAGTATCATTTGCGATACAGGAGCGGTCAAGTCATGGAGTGCATCATTTAGAGACATGTTAGGAGTTCAGCTCTAAGGAACTAACCCCCGCCTTCATGAGACCCTGTTAGCATGCTCATGGGCAATTCAAGAATTTGGATGAAGTACGCTGACTGTGACTGTCACTGATTTGTGGGTTTGAAGTTCAAGGAAGGTTTGCGCCATGCAGAGGGCTTGAACCCAACAAACTTTTGCCACCTGATATGGCAAGCTTGGAGTCTGGAACCCAACTCACTCTGCCCTGCAAAGAAATATGGGACTGGATGTATTCGATAGTCATCCCTCTTTGAGAAGCAGATACCCTCCCAAAAACAACAACTAAACTGTCAGTTCTCACCGCAGCCGCTGGATTTGGGGGGATTGCCAGTTACCGGTTCTCCTGGCCAGGTGCTGGGCCTCCGGAGGGTGCGCCATGAGACGAAGACGACAGTGGATTTCATCTATGAGTTGGAGGATCAAGTTGGATTTCTATAAGTTGGGTTCATTTTTCAGTGGAGTTGGAAGAGATTGCCTCTCCTTTCTGCAATTTGAGGATCAAGTGTTACGCTTTTGTGATGTGGAGTCTTCTAGTCGGGATGTTTGCCGCTCTTTACTTTCAAATTCGGGAACAGTTTGACTAGGTAGTGGTCGAATCTCCATGCTAGTTCTTGGAGTTGTTGGAGATAAGGAGCTACCCTGGACATAGAGTCTTTCCTACTTTTGCAAATCCAAGCAGAATACAACGCGCAAAAACTGCAAACTATCCTGCTCCTGAGGGGAGTCTTGCAGGTTGGGTTAGCCTCAAGGTCTCTGGGAAGGCTGGGCTGGAACATGTCAGATAGGTCCTGTTGAAACACAGGTGAACTGGCCTACTATATGAAACATACATATATATATATATATACTTGGGTGCTCGTGGGCGAGTATTTAAATTGAGTTCATACCACATACTCATGGTGTAGTCGTTAACATGGTAGGTAACATGGCTTATCCAGCCCCAGAATGGGGGTACGACTTGTTCAACTATACTGGTACTGTTTTGGATGCACGGATGGATAACAAACTGCGATCTGCATGATACTGTAAACATTTTTTGCTGTAGTGACTGTAGTGGTTATCACAAGTCAGGTGGTTATAAGTTGTATGGACCTGTCAAAACATGGTTGTGAGGTTCAGTTACTTTTTTGAACCGTCTTCGCTTCACCAATTCCTACGTTAAGAACACTTCCCCTACGTGAAATACGTGCGGCAGCAGACAGGGATCCATAGGTGATGATGCACGATGATGTTCGGATGTTACAAGTATGCATTGCGGGCATGGCAGGATCCATGGCCAAATTGACATATTGGATCGACCTGGCAAAGGACTTTGTCATCTTCCTAACATACAACCAGGCCTTCTTCCTTCTATCCAAGACTGGGTGGAGTGAGTGGCCCAATTTCCCAGGTTCATCCTCTTTTTCAAAGATTGTACAATAGAACATAATAGAACCTTGTCTCTGAGATGCCTTATCCTTGGAGCCGACTTGGTAGGTCTTGCTGTCGCCACTGGTGGAGGCATGGTCAGCAATTGGTTGTGCTTTTGCCCAACATTGCGACCTTTTCTCCACTGACCTCTAAGCTATTCCATCCAGCCACAAATCCGGAGTTGCCAACATGTTCTTCTCTATTCGTCAACATAACTCATCGCACATGATTTGGTGAATTAGGCCTTGAACTCAAAGAATTAGATAGGTCAAGCACTCGAAGGAGATCTTTGACTATTTAAGTCTTGGGGCTTGGCCGTGCCTATCCATGCAGCAGCGAAGGCAGAAACGGCCAGCGCCAAAGATGAAAGCCTTGCCCTGAGCATTGCTTGCTTTGGTCCGAAACCGACTCTGAGTGATGAGTCGTGGACCTGGCAACCATGTGTTTCCGTTGTCCAAATCTTCATTGTTTTTCCATGTGTGCCATATGAAACGCCTGTTAGCATGTAACCAGATCATCATGGCTTTGGAGGTGGGTCAACTTAGCTCCAAAGATTTCGTTGGCTCTGCAGCTCTCCGCCATGGGAGATCCTCTTTGTGAGCGTGGCTGTGGTCGTCAGCGCTTCCGGCACTTCACAACCTGTTTCTTTGGCTGACATTGTGGAAGTTGATGAAGAGGGGTAGATACACAGATACCCCAAAATATCTTCCCGCTCTTTACACAATTTGCGGAAAAGACTTACCGGGCCCGGCCATGAGGGCTTGTCAATATTGTGCCTTCCAAAAGGAGTTAAGGCAGATGCACGCTTGCGCTTGGGGCTCCCTTCTTATTCTTGAAGCCACACTCATCGTATGAAAGCCATTTCTTGGTCATAATGAAGTGGCCTTGCTTGGCCGAGCTACGAATCGCCCTGCTTAGATTGCTGACATCAAGCTTCAGAGTAGTTGGTGCAGTTCCCAATCTAGGTCATTCATATGGAGCCCCTTCTCCAGTGCACTGGTATGCAATGGTCAAGCAGGTGTGTGCCATCTACCCTGAGTGGTACATGCCATGTTCATGCTTGTATTCTCCTGAGCATCAGCTTCAAAATCCTTGTGAACTCATGCTTTGTGTGCTTTGGGGTTTGTTTTTGGATGCAATGACAAGACGCCAAAGGAATGACAGCCCAGAGGGCAATGGACAAGACATAGCAAATGGCTTTGGAAGTAGCTGAGGTTGCACACATTGCAAGGGGCCTGACGGGAGTCATGCGCGGGACTGCAACGCCAGAAGCGCAGGACGACTTGTTGGTCTTGGATGAACCTGTACAAATTGGCATAATTGGACAGTATATATACAGTATACACAGAGTATGTATGTGTGTTAACAGCAAAAGAAAGCTGCTTGGACGTTGGGTCAGGGCAGATGCTTTGCGCATAGAACAGGCGCATGCCACGGACTAGGGATCAAGATGGCTTGTCACAAGCAGAGAACCAGAGATTGCATCGTAACACCATCTCTCATCAGGGTGGCCTCCAGCTGATTGGTAGACCTCACGAGGTAAACGCATGTAAACTGTCTTGGGATTTTCCGCTTGTGCGATTTGCAGTTTGCTCCAAAAGGTGATTTGTCGCCTGTGAATTTTGTCCTGACAGGACTGGAAGAGACTTGCCACAAACTTGACCGACCCTGGTGGTGACACGAAGCAGCTGAGCGTCTCCCTCTACTATTGCCATTGCCCCCAGATTGTTTCTTCAAAATTGACCCCAGGACTTTACGGGCTCGCTTTGGGGTCAGTTTCTTGGTGCAAATCCTTGTGACAGGAGTACAGTATTTGCCAGTTCTTCTAAGGACTATGCTCCCTTGACCCTGAGTGAAGGGATCAAAGATCCACGTCTGCAGAATTAAGTTTGGTGATGCCGGCTGAGGATGGTCCCGCTTGGGCTCGGCCAGACTCTGTCCCCGAAGGATTCTGCAGGGAGGGCTGCGGTCGAAAGGCAGCGAGTGGATTGAAGAGTCTGGGATTGAAGTAGTTACGATGGCCTCCAAGTTACTAGCTATGGCCTCCAACCTAGTTAAACATGCACAACGGTTTTGTTCCTCAGACTGGCTGAACCAGTTTGTGCCCAAACTCACGGAGAACAAAGGAAAGTGGAGTTAGCTTGTAACAACGTTTCACGATTTGGGCGGGCTGAGATATAGATTTTGGAGTCATTGTGTCTCAAATCAAGATTTGCGAGCTATGGCGTGGTAGACGGGTCCGATGTATCGACGTACATCCGCCTTCCATGTATAGACTCAGACCAAGCTAATAGTAGACATCTGCTGGTGGTGGTGGTCATCGTTCACCCACACAATTATACACCTTTAAGCTAGTCAGCCGAGGAAACCAAGCCTGCAAGAATGCATTGGAATGCCCCTATGCACTTATAAACAAACCAGCTCAGGTCTTGCTGCAAGAGAATCTCGTCGAAATAAACGAGTCCCAAACTGAAACGCTGAAGATAGCTTGGGTTGCAGTACATTGTCCTTTGCTCTTAGGAAATCTCCAGAGGTTTCATGTGTCGATGGACCAGCGATGCCATTGCAGCCCATGAGTTCCATTGGGAAGATGTTCTTGGAGGAGGTTGAACACCAATTCCAGCAATCTGAGGCTGCCCCTTCCTTGTCGAGAAGTATGGTCGACCCGGTCACGACTGCAATTGTGCCTGGGTTGACTTTGGACTTGGGCCTTCAGGTTTCTGGAGACAAGTGCATCGCCACTGGTAACAAGTGCATTACTACTACAGTAACAAATAGCTTCTTGTTACTAGTCGCGATGCACTTGTTACTAGTAGCTTCTTGTTACTGGTAGTAAGGCCAGGAGCCCCTACGTAGTAGCGTCCTTGCTCCTAGTAGCGATGCCAGGAGCCCCTAGTAGCGATGCCCTTGTATGTGGGAGGGCGGTAGGACATCAATGAGGTTCAAGCTTAGTCCTATTCAACCGTCTCTTGGACGCTGAGGTGACATTCAGCATGATGGAGGAATGACTCCTCCTTGGTACTGGCGCGTCATGAGCAAGCCAAGCAGAGCAACCTGGCCAATGCTTTTTGTGAAATGCCAATGCTCCAGTCGGCCTCGGAATCTAAGCATATGTATGCATTTGTTTGGTTTCTGAACTGCTTGGCTTTTGTCAAAGAACTCATGGATGCAGCCGCCTTGCAGAACTGAATCGCAACTTTGCGCCAAAAGAGTGATTCCTTTTTGTACCCGGTGGTTTGAAGGCCAACAATGGATTGATTATTTTATCCCTTCATTTTGGGCGCTTCAAACTTTCTTTTCTCAACCTAGACAGGTGGGTTTTGCGGTGAGACTAAGGAGGCAGCGTTTCACGAAGAGGTGGAAGGACACTACATCCAGACCTTGGGCACCAAGAGTTTTGGCTGATGTTGTACAAATAGGGTCTACGCATGTTGATCCGCAAAACACTTTCCAACAATCGGTTTTGACTGTTGTTGGGAACAGTCCAGTGTCAAAGTGTTCACAAAGTGCTGGTTCCTTCAAGCATGGAACACTTTCACGCATTCTTTGGGGTTCGATGGCAACTTGTGCATTGTTCAGTCTCGTTATATACTCTTGTGGCAGTCTTCCTGGAAGGCACCTATTAATTTGTATTTTTTTCCCTTGGAATATCGTCCCTGCTTGGCAAAGTAACGTTTGAGTTGAAGACCTTTCGTCAATGTTACTATGAGGGGAAAACATATACAGTACTTCTTGTTATCAGGCTTCACCTTCCCCACCGACAGACGGGAAACCATCAACTGTGCAGAGAGGTGCCAATCCCTTTCTCAGAGTGTTTTTTCCTGCCCTGAAGAAGATTCAACGTGCCGGCACCAGGTTCCATCGATTTACAGAAAACGTGCTTATTTGTTGGTTTGATTGATTTTGCAGTTATTTTTGTTGGTTGCTTGTTTGTTGATGTCACATCATCAGAAAGTCTGATGTGTTTGTTTGCTTGTCAGCCGAATAAGGCTGGTCCAGCAGACATTGCCCACACGGCGAGTGGTGAAGTGTTTGCGCGTAGAGGATTCACTTCTTTGGGTCGCTGTGACTGAGGGTTGGGCAAGTGTGCTGGGGCGAGGCGGAAAGGATTTGGTCAAGCGCTTGGTTCTTTTGCGCATAGAATTCGGCATGGGGGAGGCAGAGTGAGGCAAACAGAGTTGAGTTTGACGTACCCGTCCACCCATCATTACAACCATCCTGGAGCACATGTGCTGTGAAGGTCAGTCTCCAAAGGTAGAACTGCACTCCAAAAGAACATGGTCCTAGAACCCCAGCGTTGCTCGAACCATGATCCAAGCATAAACATGTCAGGTCTATTTATTGACTGAGTCAGCGTTCGGTACTTATGAATGAACCAAGTTAAGTCTTCTGAAGGCTTAGCAAACGATGCCAGTTAAACCATGTGATGAATGAATAATTCCAGTGTCATAGTCTTCGGGACCAAGCTCGTGTGGAGGCTCCAGTCCTGTGCATTGCAGATGTTGCATGATTTTGCAGTGTTTGGATGTTTTTGCCATGTTTTGGCGATGTACCCAACACGACGCTTTTGGAGCTACTCTGTACGCCCTTATTCTGTTAAACTTTTGTATTGGTCAGCACGAGAAAGACTCTAAGGATGCATACGCGAAGAAGCGCGCTGAAATTCGCGCACGCGCCCCACCACAACTGGACTTGAAGCCGGAAACCTACCTGCAGCTGTCCTACTCTGCTTTGAGCACGTGTCGTGCCTGAAAGTTTTCATAGAACACTGCAATTTACCATGTCAGGAGCTTGCCTTGCAATAGATATCCAGGATACCTCAAGCAAAGGTACACTGCTTTGTCTTCGTTACTTGGCTCCCAAGAGAGCACCACTGAAACAAGACTGGGGGGGACCATTTCACCTTGACCACTGACCACTCCTAGGCAACTCTCTGTGCATACTATGCTTTAAGGCCTGGACACTCCCCTAACCCCACAGCTCAAGAGAGTACGATCGGGATGCGTATCGGGGGCATCGATGGCGCTCAGCTCAAGGTTGGACACAAAGGTCAATGAAGTGTGGCACCTCTCCTGCATTGGACCGTTGTCCGAGTCCACAGAGCAGGTCGAGCTCCTACAAACATGAAACTGAACATCATCCACAGTTCCAGAGGGCACACCTGACTGTCTCATGTATTTCTTTTCGTTTTCTTGTTGATGTACCGGCTACCCGCCCTCCCAGTACACTTCAATTGCTGCAGTGGCTAAGCGAGGAAGGCATCATAAGTTACAGTGATTATTTGGGTCCCTCACTGCAGCAAGGGATAGCAAGGGTATACATATAACATCATATATAACTATGTGCTTGTGTAGTTGCCCGTGTGTACCGATTGCAGACAGACCTGGCATATTACATCTGAACTTACTCCTGTGTCGCAATTCTACAATCTTCCGCAAGCTCTTTGCACCGCCGTCTTACTGTTCTCAAAATCTATATAAGTAGCCTCACCGTCACCAATCGATTTCCAGTGATTTGCGTGGATCAATCAAACACCCTGGCCCCGGCCATGTCGAGGCTTTTCCATGGGACCAGCGAAGAGGCTGCAAAGTCCATTTGCAGCAGCCAGTTCAGACTTCCCACCTCGGCGTGCCATGGGTCCTTGTTTGGCAAGGCAGGTGGCAGGGTAGAGGTTTCCAGAAGCGGGACACAATATGCCGGACGCCCTCAATCCCCGAGCGAGCCAGTTTTGATACCTGTCACGTTTCTGACTTTTCCAAACGATCCTAGAGTGACAGAGTCTGACAGAGTGTGTTGTCTCACAGGTCCAGACAGTGGAGCCATGGAACCCTGAAAACTTTGGGCTTTGGCGGCACAAGTTACCACCCACAGCAGCAAGCAATAGTTTAGTCCCATCCAGATGAAGATTGAAGTGCCTAAGGCTAAGCCGCTTGACCTCTAGTCACTTTTAGCCAACAATAGTTCAGTGAACCAGCCTCACTTTGCTGGAGTTGGTTCAGATGCTTGTTGCATCGCAGATTACTTTCTAACTTCCAAACCAAACCTGTACTGTATATATGTATAGACTTTCACCACACTCCAGCCACGGCATTGATGCACTGTCTATGACGCCTGGAAGATGACGAACTCCCGTTTATATCATTCTGACTCCAACCATTCACCTGTGGAATCACAACAGCCGATTGGTGTTGGCCCCCGTATCAATGCTCATCCTGCCCCTGAGGGGGTTTACTTTGCAGATCGGGCGGAGAAGAGTCACCAATACACCACCAAGAACCACCAGAACCTCCGTGTGATTATGCTCTGCCGAGTGATCCTGGGACACGTGCTGGAGCTGTCGACGAGAACGGATTCCAGGGCACATGAGACCATAGAGGCGACGGAGGGACGAATCGGACATTAACGTTACTAATAGTAACAAGTGCCTCGCTAGTAGTAACAAGTGCCTTACTAGTAGTAACAAACAGCTATTAGAATTAAACTCAGACAGGCCCGCAGACTCCCTTGGCCGCCCTTCGCCCGTAGAGAACTTTTGTATGGGACCTTTTCATGCCTCCAAAGCCGCTCACCCAAATTCCAAAGTATACTACTCAAGGAAATGAAAGGCTCATAAGGTAACTTTGGAAGATCCTCCACCAGCTCCCTGAAGGGCACAGACTACACCTGCGTGCTTGGCTGTGCTGACGGAACGAACAAGGAGTTCGTTGTGTTCGACGTTGCTCAGGCGAGTGAAGAACAGGGGAATAGTTGGACGTCCAAATCTGTTCAACTACTGTTTTGCCTTGGGATCTCAAAAAACATCAAAAAACGATTTCTACGAATGGGGTTTACTGGGATGGTCGCTTTTTTGGACAGGAACTCGATTCTACGTTGAACGTATGCAGAAGTCGTCCCATGAAGGAACTCCGAAAGTTCCAAAATCTTCAGTTTGCTGCTAGTAGTAATGCCCTTGCTACTAGTAGCTTCTTGCTACTAATAGTAACGCCCTTCCGAATCCCACGATTTGGCGAAAATGACAAAGTACTGATTTTGGCAAACCTCAGCCAGTCCTTTGTTCGCCCAATGATTCCTTTCGGCTTCACCGAAGGGTTTTCGGTAGTCTTTGCAGAACAATTGCGAGACCGTGATTGTCAGGTCTACCCTGAATACCTCATGTTCTATTCAAAGCCTGGCGGTGAGCCTACTGATTGCAGCCTACAATGATGAGCACTGCCTCAAGAGACCGTAAGAGACGGGTTCCGGAGCATTTCTCAAAGGCGGTCAAGGTGCGGAGGCAATCCAATCGGAGCTGATCATTGGCAGGTATTGGTACACGACCGTGGCTTTGTGTGGATGAAGAGCTGCTTGACAACGTGCAGGAACTTGTTGTAGCTTAAGCATTAGACCCAGCTTTGGGCGCTGCACAAGCGAAAGCAGCACCAACCCTGTGAAATGCAAGATCAAAACCAGCAGCGGCAGTATGAGGAAGAGGAGGACAAAGTTTGCCAGGACATAGACGGGATTTCAAGAGGGTGAGATTGGATGAATCCAAGATGGATTTAAGCACATGTGGTGGTGCCGGTGCATTGAACGCTTGCTCTTCGCACTTGCGACCTCAGAAGGCTTGGCGTTTCAGATGGAGAACTTGCCAAGAAACCTGCTGGCTTTGATTTCAAAAAGGCGAACTGTCAAGCTGCTGGAGCTGCATTTCACTGGAGGTTCTTTTGTACCATGACTTAGTTCTCCTGTCTTTTGGGACGAAAGTTCACGCCACAGGGCCCATGCGAAGACCAACATCCCGTGCTGAGGTTTTGACAAATGGCAGGTTCTGGGAGTTGAAGCTGGATCTGAGGCCCGACCCTCGAAGCGTATAATTTAGGCTCTACAGCGTCCTTGCTCCTAGTAGCAATGCCCTTTGTTACTAGTAGCTTCTTGTTCCAAGCAGTAATGCCAGGAGCTACTAGTAGCTTCTTGCTGTTAGGAAAGGTTCAGACTATATAGAGCAGATAGTGCTGCCACGCTGCCACCCAAAAGAACAAGCTAGGCCAAAATGTGTTTCTCATGGGAGACTGCTTCAAATCCAGATTTGTGGATTTCACCACTGCACATTGTATGTTACAAAGAGATATTACACATATTACAAAGATTTGCAAAGAGTATCACTTTCAAAATCTTATACATAATACATTTGCGCAGATTGAATTCGGAAAAACTGCCAACTGACATGATCATTGAGGCTTCCAAGAATGAAGCTGAGATGAGCCCCTCAGAAGCATATAGGTCCACATAAGTCACACACGGCTTAATCTGGTCCGTGGAGAACCCAGTTGCCACCGAAACGTGGGAACTATCGGGTGCCTTTGCCAGGCTCATAATTGATATGTTTCTTTTTTTGGTACTGAAGGTGTCTATTCCAGATAAGCCAGGCAAGCACTTTGGCTAAATGCCGGCCGTTTACAGTTCAGGTCCCTCCCTTTGACGGCAGCGCTAGCAACGAAGCTCCCCAGGACGGATTTCCGCCCAGAAGATCCTTTCAGCCAGCGGAAGGCCCTACGCGGCCGGGAACCCCATGACGAAGCAGCTTTCAGAGGTTTCGAGATTCCTCGACAGATCTCTGAAGATATGTTGGGAGTCACCCCACCTACAGTAGATTTGCTGCATTTGCATTTGTATGCGTTTGTTTCTTTATTGTATTTCTTTTTTTGAAATTGTGGAACACCAGCAAATTTTGCAAAGGCAGACTAGAATGATATATATATATATAAGATATACATACACGTATAGCGAACTCAACATCCTGGGTGACATTTGAATGGCAGAACCTGGCTCCGGTTAACAGGTTCTCCACTTGCAGGGCGCCAGTTCTAGTTTGGTCAAATGCAAAAATAGAAACTGTGCTTAACTTGGAGTCAACTAACAACATACATTCCCCAGGAAGCAGGAAGGTACTGCGATATATTGTGCTTGTGCAGATTGCAGATCGTTTTGTTTCCGGCAGACTTTAAGAGGATGTTTGGCACAAAGTGTTGTGCACTCAGAACTGCTCCAACCCAAAAGATTCATGAGTCATGAGCATTCTGCGACACCTTGTCGTTTTTCCACCCAAAGCCCACGATCCGTGTGAAACCATGTTAAGCCTTTTTGCATCTTTTTGCAATGTGTCCCCTGAGCAATCCAATGTCGCGACAGGCCAGACGTTCCACTTATGGGCCCCTTAATTACTCACGAAAAAAGGGTTTCCAACGGTGTTGAAATTGTGCAATGTTGAAATGGATTTCATGTTTCTACCCTTGTAGCTATTAGGTTGAAATTAGGTTAATTTTGATGCGTTTTGTGTCGAGGTCTTGGGCCTCCAAGCGGGAGCCAGTAGCGCCGCCACGCGGTGCGGCGGCGTACGGGGTGCGTTGTTGCGGAGCCGATGGTTCTCCAAGCGGGGGGTGTTGGTTTTACTGGATTTGTAGTGATGGACTGGTGTTGAAGATCTCCAAGTTTGGCGAATCTCCAAAAGTCTCCAAAGCAATGCAAAAAGTTTCAAGATGCATCGGAGAATCAACAGATGCTACATTTTGACTATGGTTGTGTACGTCTGCAGGAGCTACCTGACTGAGTATGTGATTCTCTAAAAACCAATGTTTCACAAAAAAGGCAGCGTGAAACCCAAAGTCCAAGACAAAAGAGATAGTTAGAGTAAGATGATGTAGGATGTGTTCACCCTATCTGGAACTTCGAGACAAGGTGACCACTCAAAACAAAAACTGTATAATATTTATATTTATTATACAATGTACAAATATACTGTAGTGGGTTTAAACCACGGGGTTGTCAGTGGTGTACATACACAAAAATTGTCCACATTCTCTCAGGAATTGGATATCAGACTTTGCCCGCTGTCCAAACGACCCCCGTGTAGGACGGAGGCCGTTGCCCACACACACACACACATCCTGGTGGTGTGTTTATGGATTGACCACGGCGTTTCTGCTTTTGACAGGCGGGCGTACCATTGCCTGGCATTGCTCCACCATCCCGACAAAGGCCCACGTGGCTGAAGATGCTTATTTTGGAGTGCTAGGGCACTTGTGCCCGTGCCCCAGGGATGGTTTTACTTTCTGACACCCGGTTTGTCATTCAATCAGACAGCCAAGATCATGGTACATGAATATCCTACAGTATCCTGTGATTCGTTGATACTGACCCATGACCCGGGAATGTTTCGATACGAGTATTTCGTCCAGGACTTTGTGCTTTGAACCCACCGCACTTGTTCCCGACGTCCTGTTGGAAGAAGCACCTGAACAAATCAGATGGTTTTGCGGATTCCTTTTTGCCGTTGAAAGGGCCGGTCCCCACCACTATGGCTTTTCCTGACACTCACAAGAAGGCATCCATCTTCCAATGTATTTGACATCTTCCAACAACCTGGTCTGGGGTTCGTAAATCTGATGTTGAATCGGGTATGTACGTAGTCACAATCGAATTGGCGCCTGGCAACACACCTCAAGAATCAAAAGGATGTGTTCTCATTTGGCACAGGCGGCGATGATGCAGTCTTCAAAGCGATTGCGGATGCATATAAAGCTTTGACAGAGGCCTTGGCACTTGGAACACCTGCATGGGGATGGACGGTCGGGCCAAGACACTGGGTCACAAGGACACTTGGAAGAAGCTGCGGGGCCTAGAAGCCACGGGCAGATGGCTTTCAGACCCACTTGGGGAGGTTTGGTTTGGGGAAAACGCGGAAACTTGAGCAGACACATGTTCACAGGAGAACTGTGTGCGCCCTTTGATTTGCTTGCAACCTGCAACTATCTACTACTGTCCTGAATATCAACATCTCAAGCTTGACGAGCCATTCATAGTCTCTTCTGGCCATCCACAGTTGACTACTTTGCATGTCCATAATTGACGGTTTGATTTTATAGTGCTAAAATATGCTAAAATGCGGGGACCAACCCCCTCAAAAAAAGGTCACTTTTTGACCCTATAAAGTTGAGAATGAAAAAGGAAAAGAGTCCAAAAACAAGGAGTCAGCTCTATAGAATTGAGGGTCATGAGTCTGTGAAAAGCTGCGAGCATTGAGGATTTTGCTCTATAAAATGCAGGTCCTGAGGTACCGTCGAACAGGTGTTTTTCAATAGGAGTGAGAAAAGGGGTCTCTATAGAATCAAGGTACAAGGTTCTGAAGAACACATAAAAATGCAACTGTCCAGGAAGGCATTGATTTCCCAGTTGGTAGGACCACAAATTTATAGAGAAAAAAAGGGTGTCATGGACAGGTAAGGGTCTGTGAGTTTATAGTGTCCAAAGGTCGTCCAAGAAACCATTCCCCAGGGTTCTTTTGAGCAATCCCAATTGCGTACTCTTGGAATCAGGCGAGCTTTGAACTCGAACAATTGAAGAACAATATCAACCTCTACAGAATTGCAGTCCCTGACATGCAAATCCATGCTAATAATTCTATTGAATCAGATCCACTGCACCATCACTTCAAAACCTCTATACTCTAAAGAATCGAGCTTGTAAAAAACAGCAATTCCCTATAACATCGAGAAACTTCCAGGTTGGTACTTACAAGCCTCCATGTTAACCAAGAAAATCTGGCTAGCACAATCGCTTTCTAGGGGTCCCAACCCCCACGATTTTGTAGAGGAAATTCCAACCCCTATGTATATTGTATATTTATACATGTGCTTCTGTGGATGGTGGATGAGGGTGACCAACCCCCAGGAAGTAGATATCAGAGAAAGCTGAGATGTGAACACATTCAAACAGCTAACTTGGTCTTCGATCGCGCGATGTGTTTGTGGGTCAGTTCCCAATAGTTCACGGTCTGAAAGGCAAACCAGGTTTGTCATGATTTTCTGGGAACCCCAGATGTGAAGTTTGGTTGCGCACGGCCCAAGTTGACTCAGACCCATTTGACATGCCTAGGGGGAACCCTAGGTCCGCTAGGAAGGCGTCAACTACACTGGCTAAGGCAAAGACCGAAGAAGGTGGCTGGCGAGACTTGGAAGGCACGGCGTTTGTTATGTTTGGAGGGGTTTATGCGTATGTCATTTCAAGTGATCCAAAGAAACTGGCAGTGACTCGGTAACTGGCTATACATACATGCATTCTGGTATTCTGTAGCCATTCAGCCACCTAGATTCTTAAGTGTCCACAAAGTTGTACCAGTGATTGCGAAGTTCATTTTTCGAATCACCAAGATGTCCATGAAGATATTTCGACAACCTTAGTCTGTTCCTCCAAACCAGCACAACAATTGTAGAGATGTTGAAAACTCTTTCGGTTGCGCCCAATATCAAGAATCATTGACCACCACGTCATGCAAGTCCTAACCCTTAAATGCAAGTGTGCGCACCTGCTTGCATGCTCCTTCACAGGTGGGGAACCCTCCTCAAGTCAACTGTGCTTTTTGGTTTTCCACGGGTATCGTGGTCTCTCTCCCTCTCCCTCTTGCGCTCTCTGCTTGCCTGAAACTCTCATTCCACTGGTAGAGAGCTCGGACATTTAAGACATGAGGGTTTCAAGTTTTTGAGGAGGCACAGCGATCGTTCGACTGGTCAGGCCAGGCCGTTGGGCCGTGGCAGGGCCATGTTGGGGGCTCTCGGTTCGCAGAGCAGCACAGGAGCTCATTTGGGGGGGACGGTGGAGAGGAATCGCTTCAAGCTGCAGAACCCATGAATACCTGAAAAGTCCTGAAGAAACATGGGGAGCTGAGTAACTGGAGCACTCCCCCAACTACTTCGGCTTTTCCTCCATATGGCGATTTGTCAGTCAAGCCACAGTTTCTGGAGCGCATATTTACAATTTTGTGACTGGGTTGCTTTCTTTTATTCCCTGATTCCAAGGTTTCTGTGGGCTTCATTTCCACCCCTTATCAATCTTCATTTGCTAACTTCCCGAGGCTGCACAAAATCCCAAAGATTGACGCAGCCCTGCCCTGTCCCAATTATGTACATGTACAAAGTTCTTTCTCAAAGCATTGCTGGTGGTTGGTCTGAGTTTTGTTTTCCGAGAAACTTAGAATCTCAGGTTCTGGTTGAGCGAACTCATGGGAACGATGCTGTTCTTCGCTTGCACCCGAACAGCCCAGCTCATTTGGCCCAGACATGAGCTATGGGAAACTGTTGATGCTTGGAAATCAGGTAACCATCATTCGACTCAACACATTGTTTTAGCATGTTTTAGCCAGACCTGTTATCCATGTCTCGTGCCCAGGCCCCCACCGCTACAAAGGCACCGCAGAGTTGGAAGATTTGGTGACATCCTGTATTGAAGTTCACAATGAGCTTCGAGCTCAAGGATGTTTCGAGAAAAAAGCTTTTCCACCACGGACCACAACGGTTTTGGATTCATTCACGGAAAGTCCTTCAAGTTCATGGCCTCTAGAAATTTGTCACCACAAACTGCTTGGAGGGCATCACTTGCATGCTCTTCGACACCTTTGGGCCAAGACCTCAAATCCAATTGAGATCAGTTTGTTCGGTCCGCTTGCTGCTCTGTTTGTTTTAAGCAACAAAAGGAAGCAGATATTTCTGCTTCAACAAGGGTGAGTCACAACGCTCTGATTATATACATCCTATGGACTTTTTGCACAGGGAAGTACAGGAATATCTGTTGTTGTGGGTGCTGAGACTTGACCCACTCACACCAAGGACCCCTCCGTGGGAAAGCAGAAGGCTCTACACTGGGCTCTGGCCTGAGTGTTTGAGGAGTGCGAATGATTTGCTGCAGTGCCTGAGACCATCCAAAAGTACACAGCCAAGTCGTTTGTCGCGAGAAAGGTGCTGAGTCAGGCATGCCCTACATGAGCCCCAACGTAATTTTCGGAGTTTCTCGACTCTTCCTAAGGCCGTTTGGGTCAACTTGGGACATTTCAGGTTTGAGACCTGTTTCTGCCAATCTGAGATCAGGTCTTGGCAAGAAGGAGTCGCAAGGCACTTAGATTTGCACGTCAAATGCCGGGAGGACTATCAAAGCCACGCTGGGTCATGGGCAGTTCTTTGGAGCCTTGTGAATGGTGATCCCAAATGACCGAGAAGGGAGAGCCTGTGGTATCCGGAAAGACTGTAGACTGCAGAGAAAGCCAGCTGACATGGGAGACATCACCAAATGCTGTCTAAATGGGTCCACACGATACCGGAAAGAAAACCCCTAGGTTCGATGTTGGGAGCTTTCGAAAGGAGAGCCCGGCAAGCGCAGGGCTTAGCAAGTGGAGGAGCATTTCTTTAATAGGTCTTCTTTTTGATTCTTTTTGTTTCGTGCCCTAGGGATTCTGTGCAATTGTGTGTTGGTCTTTGATGTTTTTATTATGTCGACATTTTTTCTCATGTTGATTCTATATCCATTTGGTCTTCACAGATGTTTCTTTCAAAAGTAGGCGTGCCTCCTTCTCCTTTTTTGCAATCACCTGGTCTTTCTCAGCTTTCAAGTCGCCACTCCATATATTGTCAAGACATCCGCTTAACTTGTTCATCGATTGTTGGAAAAAAGCAAGCAAAGGTATCAAAAGGTTTCTAGTTTCCCTGCGCTTCGCTTCTTGCCTCGGTTTCAAAGGTACACAGCCACAGGAAGACCAACTCGTCGGACCCGTTGCTGAGGACAAAGCCTCCACCTCGTTTGGTGGGTGAAATTGCCTGGGCCCAAGGGAACCTGCTGGGCACAAGGCAGTTGGAAAGATTGTTTTCAGAGGAGCTTAAGCAGCTTTGCTGCCGGTTTGTAATTTTGCGAGAGGATGTGACAGACAGCTCTTGTGATGTGAAGTGTATCCTGGTTTTTGTGTCGTGCTGTGCACATGAACATACCAGCATCGTGATTTCACCAGAGTCAGCCTTGGAGTGACGTTGGAACGCTTGCAGTTGACCTGTCCATGTAGAACATCGGCTTCTTTTCCTACACACACATCATTGTATTGTCACGGCAAGCACGTTTATTATGGTTGAAGGTATGGGTAAGGTTGCGGAAGGTTCTAGATGTTCATACAGCATTTGGTTCTGCATTCCCCGGTTGCCATAAACCACTATAATGTTAAAAAGAAAGAGCAAGTCTGATGTATACTGTGTACTAATAATATGATCCAAGATGAATGATTGTAGAGTTCGGCCGTAAATTGCAGCCTGTGGAGCAGATGTAGATATCCACATGCCTAGCATCTGCCAAGCAATGCCTCTCTCACTAACCAAACCTAGCAGGCGCTTCGCATTTCAAAACAGGCCGTGGGTGGATTCATCAATGATGTTGCGGCCATCTCGCCCTTTGGCCTTCTGACCGTTTGGGGCTCAGATAGTTCAAAGAGAGTAGGACCAGGATGGAGTCCCGAAACCGGATCAAGCTTGCCCAGCTGTGCAAGAACTGCTTCTTATGGACGAGTCACAGCTGGGCAGAGTCCGCCCAAGACTCTGCGCCTTTGCGCCTGCCTTCCCGTGAACTGATGGCGTCTCTGACGCGTCTCCGCATGTTTCTTTTTTTTTTTGCAGCGTGTTCGATCCGAGGCGCAATCCGCTGGCATGAAGCCATTGCCTGGGGAGTCCTTGAGGTCTTGGAATTTGAAGACCACTCCGTTCAGGCCGGACCCTTGGGAGAAGTGAGAAGGTATAATATATATATATACTTATATATATATAGCCGCATTTTTTTTTGAGATGTGAGGATTTCTGGTAGGTTGGTCTGGAGTCTGGTGCCATTTGTGTCACGTTGATGTGAGCTGTGAGCTCAGTGAGCTCTTAGCAACGAGCTCCTGCTCCTGCCTCCTCTAACACTCTGTCAACTAGAGTGGAGTGGGATGTGAATGCTTATTGATTGAACAGTTGTGGGTCTTTGAGGCAAACCCATAGGCTGCAATCCTGTAGTTCATGGGCAGACTCGTGCAAGATGTCCATTTTGTTTGGCCTTAACAGTACCATTCGTAGCTAGCTGGCTACATAGCACGGCAGATGGCTGGATTAGCCCGTTTGTTGCAGTGAATTTACAAGACTTCTTTTGCCTGTGAAAAGTGCTGCTGTCCTTCGAGACCCGGGGGTCATGTTTTTCGTTTTGTCTAGTTAGAACGTACGCAGGCCCATCGTCTGGCACTGAGCTGTTGCTTTGTGCCTTGGGGCGAGTCTGCTCCTTTGCAAGATCTGTGGCACCAAAGGCACTAAAGCCACTAAAGAGCGGAAATCAAAGGTCTGCTCTATTTGTCTATTTTTGGTTTGGCCATTCAGACCAGCAGAGACAACGTGGTGATTTCAAGAATTCAACGCAGAATTCTTGGGGTCGGGGCTATGCTGACTTTGCAGCGACACCAGCATGAGGTGACCTACCCATCAATAAAAAATGATCCTTTATATAACCTTTATACCTTTGTTGGGGCTGAAAGAGGTCCTGAATGGGCCCCCTTTCCATGCAAGAACGATTTCTAACACGTAAATCCCCGACGATCAGAAGTCTCAGTTTCTGTTTATTTCTTTGTAGAGCTTCCTACACTGGGGAGCTCAGTTGAGCCCTTGGGCTGATACTTCTGAGGCTCGAGCGAAAACCAACGCGATCGCCACAACCTGAGCACAGTCAAGCCATCAAACCCGGTCGTCCAGGGAACATTGGTCGACCGGCGACCGGACCCTTGAAGTTACCAAACGCGCTGTAGATCAGGCCGATGATCCAGACTCCAAAGCTGTGGCCAGCGAGCCTTGTTTGTGATACATCTGAAGTCTGAGGAGAGCTATTTTTTGTCTGGCCTGATCGGCAAAAACATGGCTTAGGCTTGCTGGTGAAGTTGGGCTGTACAAGCTAATTGCTGATCACTGTATACGTTTTGATTTGCACGAGATTGGTCTGGCAGGTGCCCTCTTCCAAATCAGGCATGGTGCAGACTCCAAGTAGCCCATGTTCACATTGACTTCTCTTGACCCAGAGGCCCAGAGGTGCTGAGTTAGGAACCAGTGAAGACTTCGTAACATGCTTCACATGTCATGAGGAACGGTGAGGTGTGACGCCATGGAGAGTTGCCCGTTGCTTTTCTGTGTTTTTGTAGGGACCTTGGAACTGACGTGCCAGAAGCAGGCAACGGCTCCAGCGACACCACCATCGTTGCAAGGCAGGGGTATCAACTGCTACAGCTGGCGGATTTGCCATGTTATACAGATGTCTTCCTTTCCTGCATCTTGGGGCAATTATGGCCGCCGGCCACATGGCGAATTTAATTTTCCCCAAAGATCTTGGCACCTGAGTGGCAGCTCAATGCCTCGTCCACCCAGTGAAGCTGAAAGACGCTCCATTTTTGTTTGGTCAGATCGTCAGGAAAGAGGAGGAAGAGCCAGAGTTTGTAAAGGATGAAGATGGCGGCTATTTGGACAAGCACCGTCCTTACAATGGAGAGGAGGGATTGCATCGAACCGCTCAGCCATCTCAAGCGACGAAGCGCATTTGAGGTCCACAATGATTTATTTGCACTACAGAGGCCCTGCTGGGTGGCTGGGCTTGCCAAGTGAAATTGATTGCAGAGGTCTGAAAGTCACACACAGTGAGAAAAAGAACTATGTCGATACATTCATAGGGGTTTTGTTTCATGCATTCGACCAAAAGAGCGGTTTTCCCAACGAAGTCAGAGGGGGTAAAGGATCTTAAATTGTTCATTCACCTTTTGGATGCATTCAGGGCAAGCTATAGTGAACAAGTTACTGAGAAGCCAACGTATGAAGATTCGATGAAGAAGCTCAACCAGCCTTCCTGCCTGTATTTCCTCCAGCAGAGCATACCGGAATTGAAGTATCATTAGAGCCTGTGTGGCCTGTCCCTGTTCAAGAGTCCAAACCCTTGACGTCTGCACTACTTGGGCCACTCTCGGGGATGTCGGCAGGCGTTCGATGCATCAGCCTATGGCCCAAGCCGGAGAACCGAGAGGCCACTCCACACGTGGCAGCCACAGTGTCCAAGGCACGGGGACGAAGGGGGGCGGAGAGACGACTTCAAATGCTCCGGGCCATAGGGTAGCTAGATCTTAGTCCTAGTCTAGTATGAATGGATCAACATTTTAGACGCTGGTATGGCCAGGTTGGGCAGAACATGTTTCTTCTTCTAGTTGTTATGTTTATTACCAAGTTTGCACCATTATAACACCCTCTTGGGCCCGTGCGGATTTCTGATCTTCGAAGGTGTCTCGAGAGATCATTCAAGCGCAGGAAGAAAACCGTTGTAGGCGCAGCTCACCCAAAGCAACCCCCCTATGTGCTCATGCGCATTCTAATGCTCGTGCTCATGCTCATGCTCTTGCTTGCTCGCTTGCTTGCTTGCCTGCGTGCTTGCTTGCCTGCGTGCTTGCTTGCTTGCGTGCTTACTTGCTTGCTGGCTCGCTCGCTTGTTACCCAGATAGTTGAAAGCTAGAGGGGTTCTTACTGACTTCTCAATGACTCGGTGGCTGATCTGCGTTTTGGTCCACCGCTGCCGCTGCTGCCTTGTCTCCCCACTTGTTTGCCTGTGCAATCGGCGTTTTGTTCACCGTTGGTGCCTTGTCCCCTTACTTATCTTCCGATTTGTCCCTTCACTTGTCTGCCTGTGTGATAACCGCAATTTCGCCACAGCCTTAGCCCATTTAGTTCTACGCGCCAAAGCTCGCAGAAAGGTCACAAACTGCAGTTTCGACACCCGTTGAAGTGCATCTCCGCTTGTATGTCCGTGCTTTTAGAGCTGCTTGGTATTAGGGGTCTATGTCGGTGCTTTTTGCTTTATCCTCTAGAGGCTGTCCAATTAATTCCAAGTATTTCTTGAAGCTTTGATGGGTACTCATTGAAACTTGAAACGGATTGTTGAGTGAATCGCAGGACGTGCTAGCTGTGTCTGAGATTGGAATTGATGGAGTGAGTCTTCAAGTTCCCGAGCTTTGGAAGAGGACCGATCCACATGCAGCCAGGCTGCACAAGACTGTTTGGACATTTCTTTTCGCTTCTGTTGCTCTGTCATTAGAAGCTTAGTGGACCAGCTTGTTTAATGGTTTTCACTTGTCCCCATTGTCTCCAGCCAACTAGATCCATACTCCCGGTTCAATACCTTACAGCAGGAAGGTTGCAAATGGCTCTGAAAAGATGATGCTGATCTACCTTTTTAGAACAGCCTAAGCATCGCGCACGGCCTGAGGAAGGTGTGGGTGATGTGAACGTCCGGCAGCCAAGACTCCGTGCGTCTGTGGCCCTGGACCACAGTGCTCAAACGAAACTTGAAGGAACCTTTGGTGCAACTAGCAAGCCATTCAACACTTCCGCATGGTCTTGATCCAAGTCTGAACATTTGCAAAGGTGCACTTAGGTTAACTTAGGTTGACCCCCACCGTTGAAGTGGATTGAGTGATGTTTACATGATTACTGTCACGTGTTTTCACATGTTTTCACATTCAACCACTATTTTCCCAGTCATTTCACCTTGATCCAGGCCATGCAGCACGAGTCTGTGAACAAGCTTTGGACAGGCGACAATGGTGGAAACCTCCGCTGCTGGGACGTGCTGCCGGCAGAGATTGAACCGGAAGACACGAGTGAGAAGCTTTTCATAGATGAGATGTTTTGCATATTCTTGCAAAACCTTTTGGTATGTTTCCTTCCTCTTTGGACCCTGGCTGATGCGGTCTCTTACAATTTCCCTCACAAGTGCAAGGAGTGGGAAAGGGACCATCGCAATTTGACCAGCTTCTTCCACAACGGTAGCGCTGAGGATTTTTTCGCATACAGGAAAGTGCAGACTTGCATATTATGGATGTGCTAGAAGCGAGACCTGTCTTAGAGTCTAAGTCTGGAAACCAAGTCCATCACCACCAACCAAACCCACCGTTTGCAGTAACCCAATTTCAGACAGGAGTGTGATTCTGCCAGGTGAACGCAACTGGCAAGGGGATTGTTTGCGACTTCAACAGTGCCTCTGACATCACAATGGGATGGGTTTGCTAAGATTGCTGTAGCTAGAAACTTCCTCAAGCAGCAAGTATCTTGATTGAAATGGAAGACATAAACATCCCTCCGGGTCGGACACTGAACGTGTAGTGGTGTGCATTTTTGAATATGAGGGAGTCACCCAAACCACAAGAACACTGTAAAAGCCCACGTGTTTTATGTCAGTGGGCCCTACAAAATTCAGTGTTTTGTGGTAGAATTGACATGTTTTGTTCTTAATTCGGGGTCTCTTTTCGTGACTCCTTTCTTCGGAAAAGTGGAAAAAACTATGAACAACTATAGGAACGGCGCCGAACAACTCGCGCTCTTTTTTTCCTGCGTCTTCACATGTCCTGAGACTTTGGCACGAACGAAACCAGCCCCCCCCCAAACCTCCCGTAGAATCTTCTGTCGTCACATCAACTCATCAACAACTCATCATCATGGTCTCTACATCACATTGACATCCATGGCCACCGGGTCGGAACATTTCAGCTTGATATCGATTGTAAAGATTAACGCGACTACACGTTCGGTTTCCGACCCGGTGGCATAAACATGTCCCGCGGCGATATTGATTAAATGATGATGATGATGATGATGATGATGATGATGATGATGATGATGATGCTTAAGCTTTCACACTAACCCAAAGCGCTGCCCAAACTGATCAATTGCGTCGGCATGTTTGAAGCCCATTGTCCATCAATGGAAAGTAATGGCAGGTGGGGCGAAGTTTTCCAGCTAGTCTGACCTCGAAGTCAGAGGTCTGTCAATGCTTGGAGTCACATGTTTCCAGAGCAGTTTTCAATCCACAGATCCATTTCAATGCCTTTGAGATCTGTGCCGTGTGCTTTTGAGGTCGGCTTGTTTCTTCATGCCCTTTCACTTGCCGACCTCTTTTCCACTGTGTCTTTCCCTCTCGTGTGCCGTCTGAATCACAAAATTGAAGAATCATGTGCTGCCAGGCCAGGATGTGGCACGAATAGTTCAGCTGCGTCCTTGTTCTTGGCAGCATTCTTGTTCCACAGTAAGGCCAGGAGCTACTAGTAGCGTCCATGCTCCTTGTAGCGATGCCAGGAGCCCCTAGTAGCGTTCTCGTTCCTAGTAGGAAGGAAGGGAGGGAACAAGATCTTCAGGGCAGGATGGCTCCAAAACCAACGGAGCAGCGTTTATAATCAAAGGAAGTGGAACTGGTATGTGAGCCGCGTATGCAGTTTTGCTCGGGGGCGTAGGCTCGTGTAGGCACCCTGGCGTAGGATAGGGGGATTTCCCTGACATACACCTTGGCATAAGACAGGCCTTGATTGTTGCCCTATGACATGTAGATCCTTTGCATCTATATAGTTTTGTATAGGGGCTATTTCTTGAGCTACTCTTTCTTCAGAAGGTTGGAGCATGCATTATATATAATCATACTTTTTGTCCAATACCTATGTATTTCCTCTTGTTGTTTAAGTGTGTAAGGGTTTACATTATACATAAACACATGTAGTTCCCTTAAAGCAGCATTAGAGCCTATACAAAATGCAAAGCCAAAGACCATAGGAACAATCAAGGGGTATGGCGTAAGCATGTTTGTATGTCCAACTCCAGAGCCACTTGTACTTGTCAAGCTTTTCCAGGCACTTGCAGTTGCTAGGATGCCATGGGAGGTTCAGCAGCTGACCAGGCTGAGTGGAATGAAGGAAGGAGAAAAGTATTGTCTTGTGTAAAAACTGGCGTCGTACCCCCAGCGTAGGCATTTGCGTATTCCCCGGGGCTCATGTTGTAGTCGGGTACAGCGTTCGAACTTAGCAACCTCCCATGCCCGCAGTAGTATGGCCACTTTGCGCAAAGTAGTATTGAGCACGTTTCTGGAGAGGTTGGCGTAGGCACTGGCGTAAGTATATAAGCACCCGTTCAATCAACATCGTTCGCGTAGGCACCCTTCCACACCGCGTAGGCGCTCCTGCGTGGCAATGTATTTTTTTGTTTTAGGGCCTGGCACACAAAAAGCACTACTTAACTGTGGACACCGAGTTTTAGATCTGGAGTTTAAGAGGTTGAGGTGACTTTGACAGTTGACATGGCACATGCCAAGACCAAGCAGTATGCCAGCTTGAACGTGGATCAACGAGCCACTGGCTCACGACACAAAAGCAGTGTGTTTACGGTTTTCTATTCTTCCTACTTCGCATCAAGGCTTTTCATTTCCAGGGGTGTTGTGTATTGTTCCCACAGATTGGATCTCATCTCATCTCATACCTTCAGCGAACATTATGCCAGTTCCACCTCCGAGGTCAGTCTGCAGGTTGGCTTTCTGGTCTGGCTTTGTGGCCAGAGCCAGGTGTCATGGTGCCCCATTTGCACTCTTGGGAAGATCTCGAAAGGCAAGACTTGAGTCAATAGATCTCAATTCTACATAGTGTGGAGGAGTACAAGTGTACCAGCAAAATACTGTAGCTCACGTATCCTGGACCAGTACTTAAAATTATGATGTCAGGTGAGCTGAACTTTTTGGAGATGACAGGATTCATACAAACAATGACATCACAAAATCTTGTCAAAAGTCTGGCTAGGCATTCGGCTTGTGGGCGTAGACGCCCCATAGGCATTTTGGCGGACTGATTTGTCGGGACTTAAGAACCCCGTAGGCGAAGAATTGCGAAAGTGCTTCTTGTGACCCTTGGCCCACTCGTGCGCATTCTTTTTAGTAGACGTCAGACGTTTACAGTGGCGGCAGCAGCACCAGCGCGCCAGCAGCGCCAGCAGCCAGCAGCAGCAGAAGCAGAGTAAGGCCTGCTCAGGAGACGCGCTCGTGTGCCTGCTAGTAGTAGTAGTAGTAGTAGTCGTCATCATCGTCGTCGTCGTCGTAGTGGTGGTGGTGGTTTTTGCCGTTTTTGGCTCAGTAGTGGTCGTAGTGGTCGCAGTGCATGGTCGGTCGTAGTGGTCGTAGTCGCAGTTGCAGTCGCAGTCGCAGCAATAGCAGTAGCAGTAGCAGTAGCAGTAGCAGCAGTAGTAGTCGTCGTAGTAGTCGTGGTGGTGGTAGTAGTAAAGTAAAAGTAGTAGTAGTAGTAGTAGCAGTAGTAGTAGTAGTAGTCGTAGTCGCAGTCGCAGTCGTAGTCGTAGTAGTAGTAGTAGTAGTAGTAGTAGTCGTAGTCGTAGTCGCAGTCGGAGTCGGAGTCGGAGTAGTAGTAGTAGTAGTAGTAGTAGTAGTAGTAGTAGATGTAGTAGATGTAGTAGATGTATGTAGATGTATGTAGATGTATGTAGATGTATGTAGATGTAGTATATAGATGTGGTATATAGATGTAGTAGTAGCGGCAGAGGTAGCCGCAGTGGGTATTGTGGCAAAGGCACCCTTTAATGACGATACCTTACACTCTAGACCAACATTTGAAAAAATTCAGTTGGCACAGTGACAATCAAAAGATCGATTGACCCACACTGGTTGAGCCGAAGGCCATATTGCAACTTTTTCACTGTCGAAGGGGCTGATTGACCAGAGGAGCAGGGTTGATCAATGTTGGTTAAATGCAGAACGAAGTCACGCGTGTTTTGTATTGGAGGTATGCTCACATTCCAGTGGCATGGGCTTCATCGACACTAAAGCAGGACTGCTCTCCAGCGCAGGATCGATTGGAGGTGATTGGAGGTTGTGTCCATGCCGACGTTGTAAACGATGAAGTAGGATAGTTTTTCGGTCTTTTTACCTACACATGCAATCTCACCTAATATAGGTGCCTCTCCAACCCAGGCCTTACTGTTTCCGTTTGATTTTGGTACGCAGTTGTGTGCGTGTTTCTTTTCTTGGGTGGTTCCTTCAGAGGGGACCTTACATTTGAAGGCGGGAGAGTCGAAACTGGATGTTCTGGGGGACCATTCTTAGTGAAGCACTTGGGCGGAGTGCATTTCAACCCTTCCTGAGAGGCAAAATAAGTCAAACACTCTTAGTTGTCAAACAATGGCTAATAGTCAACCTGCAATCCAAGCCTTTGATGGAGAGACATTTCAACCCAGACCTCACAGTGGCTGCAGCAAAGAATGCACACCGCAAAAAACATTATGTCATTTGCTTCAGTGCTGCAAGTGCTGGATAGCGCATTGGCAGGGAAGGTCATCAGGCAGCAGTACACCAAAGAGGCCGTTGGCAAGGTGCGGAAAATGTGAATCCAATGGGCGGATGTATCCGGCTTCTTTTTGTGTCCTGATGGTCGGCTGAAGCCGTAAGTATGTCATTGTAGATTAATAAGTATTAATAGCGCCCTGTAATTTTTGCAATCGATTTACACTGCAAACACTGGCGACGGGCTGGATACATAAACATTTCATGTCCGATCGCTTCGCAGGTGACTTTGTTGAACGGCAGCAGCCCCATGCTATTTGCTGGCATCGGTGGCGAGCTGATGCAGTGCGCCACGCCAATTCAATTAGCCAATTCATGTTGGTCCAAGTGGCCCGTCAATGGGTTAACCAATGGAGTGCTGCATCAGGTATGACACGCGATGCTTTGCGGATGTTCAGGAGAAGCCAAAGGCATTTTGCTTCGATTGAAATCCAATTGAGCGAGTTCAATGAATCCATGCGAGTCCTCCACTGCAATACTGTACTGTAATTATCTCTCGGACGCATTAGGCTTGGGTCAACCAGCTCTTGTCAAGGACTTGTCAACCCCACCGCCAAATATATTTTTCGTCAGTCAAGTCAGTGCAAAACCGTTGAATGAACGTGGCAGCCTCAGTGACCATCAGATCGCCAATGGTCAGGCCATCGCCTCATGGTCTTTGGGCTCACCAATCACCTCCCTGCACTGCACCGAAACGGGGAAAGGGCCCAGGCCCCAAAGAGTGACCAAGGGTCCAACGCGTGAAGTGATGATAGTGACGCATATGATAGTGTGGACCAAGGGTGACGGGTCACAGAGAGTTGCAGGGGAAATTGGAAGTGACACAGCTTCGCATGACTTGTGGGTGATGACATGTGACGACTAAGGAAACATGAAGATTGGATGAGAAGGGCTAAGGGTCAGCTACACATGTTTGAGACAATTTGTGACTTCTAAATATTTGGCCCAAGATGCTTTCACCTGGGAGCTGCAGGCTTCCTCCATCAACTTATACATACGTTACATGCATGCATCCATACCTACCTACCTACCTACCTACCTACCTACCTA